AAATAATTTCTCTTATATTAACTTCAAAATAAATAATTATCTCATTTTAATCACCTGTTGTTATTTCAATTGTTGTTTCTTCTGTTGTTGATGTTTCTTCACTGCTTGTTTTTTTTATTTTACAGATAAAAATTGGAACTGCTATAATTATAGCAAGTGCTATAATAGTAAATGTGATCCACATAACTTTTCTTTTTTTCAGGCATTTACATCTAGAATAATAAATCTTTTTTATCATTGTCTACAATTTATAATATACATACATTATATTTGGTTGAGCTGCGTTCGAAGTAACTGTTTCAGACTAAAATAATCAACAGAGACAAATATTATATTTTATGCTTTCTCTTTTTCTGAATAAATTACATCATCAACAACTCCTGTTCTGTTGTTATTGTTCATTGTTGATATCTTGTTGAAATTTTAATACTTTTACAATCTAAAATCAACAAAGGCATTTTCTCATTTATAGATTTTCACTCATTAATAATTTGATATTCGTTACCGACTAGTCTGGTGATATAAAAACTAGACTTAGATATTATTTCACTCACTCAGAAGTTTTTCATTCCCATTTCAACTAGAAAATTGTTAAAATAATAGAAAAAATATTTATCAAGCTCTCTCTTTCTTTTTCTTAAATAATCAGTTCTTTTTTTTGACGTAGATCATCGTGTTAATGTAAAACATCATATATTAACAAAAATAATGAGCTCACTTCCTTTTTCAATGTTAGTTTTCAAAACAATAACTCTTGTCAGATAGAATTGTTATTTCCTATAAATATAAAACTGTTTGAGACAACATTTATTGTAATTATTAGTTAATAAAACATTGAAAATCAGCGCCGCTCAAAGGATATGCAACATTTCCTAACAGAAAAAAAATGGTGTTAAAATGTTCTATTACATAAAAGATTCTACTAAATGAATTGAAAACTAAACAATATTTATGATTAAAAATGGATTTTAATCTGATTTTATCGAATGTAGTAATTATTCCACAGAGTAGATAAATGATTATACAAGTGATATTAATTGTCTCTGCATTGTTTCTTCATTATATAACTTTTCATTCATTGATTTAACTAAAGATCAATAGAGAACATTTAAAAAAATTATAATCTTAATTTTAATTACAATCATAGCCATGTGAAATACGTAGATTCTTGAACAATTACATTTAGATGTGACTGTTGGCGATTGTGAATACTATATGCCTCTCAATACTCTTCACGCACGATGAAAAGCTATTTATATTCTTTTAATCATTTTTCTCACTGAAGAAACAAAATACGACATATATCTCTTAATTTATGATTGGACATTTATGTAGAAAAAGTGAACATAAAGAAAACAGCAGTTATATCAATACCAAAGTATTTTAGCGATGCAATATCTTTTCATCAATAATTTGATAATTAATAACGTAGTTATAGCTTAACTCTATAGACATTAAAATGAATAAAAAAATAATAAAATATTTTGTTCAAACACATTCTTTTCTCTCAGGAAACTTTGCATTTCCTTCAAAAGTGCTGATTTTCAATGTTTTTCTTTTTTATATAAAAAATTATATTAATTATTGTTTGGACTAATTTACGTCATATACTACCCCGTAGAGTTTGGTATGTACAATAGATATAATATTTTTATTCAAAACTGATCTGGAACAAGAAAATAAACTTCTTGTTTTCATTGACATATGATGTTTTATCATAAATATTATACATAAAAATGATTATATACGGTGAGAATCATAATCATTCACTCGAACATTGGAAAAGCACGAAGTTTTTTATGTATTCACTTACATAATGATGTCGATAAGAACTTACTTTTTTTTTGAAATATTTGCAACAAATACAACATTTGAATTTATCAATAAATGAAAATAATGAATCCATTTCCTTTTTTCAAAACTAATATGAAATGTCAGGTATTATATTTGCTGTATATATAAAAAAATGTTCATGATATCGAAGTTTTGTAGGAAGGATGTGAAAACAAAGTTTGATGTTATTCTTGCTAAGAATACATTCAAAAGCATGCTTTTATGGTGGAAATACAATGCTTCCTAAAGAATACAATAAATTGTTTTTATTATTTTATATTCAGTTGAAAGAGAAAATATATCGACATTATATGTTGTCAGAAATGTATTGCACAGTTGATTTTATTCTTACTTCACACAGCAGAACATTAATCCTCGTCAAATACTATTCAACTATATGAATATCATCGAAATACATAAATAAAATAACTAGAACTCAACAAAATCAACTGAAGTCATAGTTTTATTATCCTCTGAAATTGTTCCTCATGATGAATAATTATTTCTTTTATACATTTTAGAAATAGGAAATATTGTAGAGAAGAAAAAAATGAGTTAGAAGTGATTGACAAATAACATACAAAAAATATTTTATATTGGCATGTACAAGAGAACAAAGAAGAAAACATTATACTGAGAGGGTATGGGTGTGGGTGTGGATGGAATAGTGTACAACGACGCCCACATTCACAGCCACAGCCATACGTGTCGATGATGCAACATTAACTGTACGTTTTTCAGATTTTCTGTACCGACTCTTTTCGCAATGGATTCTTTGGAAAAGAAAAGACAATGCTATTTATCAGAAAATTGTAGGACAAGCTTGATTTTAATTCAACAATGATTACAAATGCTTTATGGTATGATACTGTTGAAAGCATAGTACATCAAACTGGGAATAAAAAGGTGTTTGACGAAAACAAAAAAAAACATCTAATGGGCACCTTGAGTGTGTGGGTGTGAGCGGATGTGATCGAGATTACGAGAAGACACACACCTACGCCCTTAGAAAATGATCTGTCGTTTATCAATCATGACTCTTCCTTAGCAAGCACCATACTATATGACTTTGAGATATTATTGCGACTCATATATTATTTGGTGAGTGATTAAATAAATTGATTACATATAAAAAAGATTATAATTCAGTTCACAAAATAAAATGTCATTCTGTCTGTATCAATTAATAAAGCTCGGTACTATTTAGAAGCCCAACACCGGGGCTCCATCCACCAGTAACTAATACTCTTCCATTTGCTAATGTGAATACTGTGTGACCTGATCGTGCAATATTCAAATTTGCTGTAATTGTCCAATTGCCTGTTGTTGGATTGTAGAATTCAGTACTAATGGAAGAAGGATTGCTCGGTTGACCAGTAACTAATACTAATCCGTTTGCTAATGTGGATGCTGTGTGTTCATTTCGTGCAATATTCATACTTCCTGTGGTTGTCCAAGTGCCTGTTGATGGATCATACAGCTCAGCACTCCTTAAAATACCATTAGAATTTAATCCGCCAGTAACTAATACTTTTCCATTTGATAATACTGATGCCGTGTGAGAAGTTCGTGCAACCTTCATGTTTTCTGTGTTTGTCCAAGTGCCTGTTGATGGATTGTACAATTGAGCACTAGCAAGAAAACTACCAGGTTCGTTGGCTCCGCCAGCAACTAATACATATCCATTTGTTAATATGGATGCTGTGTGTAAATATCGTGCTATATTCATGTTTCCTATGTTAGTCCAAGTGCCTGTCGATGGATTGTATAATTCAACACTTTTGAGATAACTACGACCAGTGTCGTTGGATCCACCAGCAACTAATACATATCCATTTGTTAATGTGGATGCTGTATGTAAATATCGTGCAACGTTCATGTTTCCTGTAGTTGTCCAGGTGCCTGTTGATGGATTGTATAACTCAGCACTACTGAGATAAGTAGTACTGCCACTTGCTCCACCAACAA